AAGGAGTGTTTTTGTACTGATCACAGCTCTCCCCTACTGTGTTACACTACTTTTAATTGGGGGCATCATATCCTCTCTCCAAGATTATAAAATGAGTGCACTTTCTCTAAAATTTTGGATATGTTTTGGGAAGAAGGATGAAGGAAAATATCGACCTTATGAAGAAACAGATTGTTGGGCTAGTACTCCCACCTGCCTATCTCTTACAGGAGTTCATAAATATTGGATCCATCATCTGATGCTAGGTGATTAGGCAGGCCTCTTCTTCTCTCTTGATAAGTCAAAGAAACACATGATGGAAGAAACTATAGCTATCCTCCATTATGGGGTATTCTTAAGAGAGTCTTGTAAATGAGGCCTGAAACTCCTGGCATCCCCAGGGATTATTCTTGTTTATGGGAACCAATGGGACTAATAGTCTGAATTGTTCTCAAATAAGATATGCTAAAATTGAGGGACATTTTCTGACTGATAGGGTGATCAATGCACAGGGGTAGAAAAGCCAAATGTCCTTCAAATCCTAAACTTAGGGCCCCTTCACTCCTCTGATGCATTTATTTATGAGCTTTCAGGATCTAGGACTTGTTGAGTCATTATAATAGGCCACTTTTAGCAGGCTGGAAGCAGAGAAAATGACAACTTCCTCTCACTCAGCTTGGCATGATGTTTGAGGAAATAAAGAAAAAGAGAAAGCCTTTTATCTTGGTCTTTCTTATCCACAATAATCAAAAGAATCAAAGTTCAGTTCAGCGTAGGACAGGAAGGTGTTCACATACATACTATTTATGCATGCACATGCACACACACATATACCATATTATATATATATGAACACACACATCATACACAAAGTGCCTTTTTCACAAAGTAAACTTTTCAGCAAAGGAAATGTTATCATATACTTTGAAGAATACAGCTTATGTAGGAAAGTCTATTATAAAGCTTGCAATTTATTATATTGAAAATCCTGATATAAGGAAATCAATTTAACAGAGCAAAAACTACCTGTATTTTTCATTCTATACTTCCATAAAACTTGATTTAGAATTCTAAACTTGATTTAGAATTGTGAAGTCATATCATAACAATCAAGTCAAAATAAGTTTTATTCATGTAGCTTTTCTCCATAGAAGAAAGTAAAACTCTATAATTAGCAAAGAATTTTTATGTTTGCATCCATTAAATCAAGATGATAATACTTAAGAATATATAGCTATATATCGGGTATTGTATAAAACCTCTAGGCTTATAAACAATTCATCACTAGTTATGTGAATGGCAGTATGTTATTTAGGTATCATTGTAGCATGGAATAAGTCAAGTTGTTGGCAGTGACTTCAAGGTTACATTCATCCATGTACAGCGGTACCTCAGTTCATGAACTTAATTTGTTCCACTATTCTGGAAAAGATGGCCAAAACATTTGTATTCATGCAGGAAAGATGGCCACAGTGGCATTTGTCACCCGATGCAGAGTTCACAAACAAAAACAAAATTTGCCAAATGTTTCTATTTGTGAATCAAATTGTTCACAAACAATAGTGTTTGTGAACCAAGGTACTACTCCCCCCTCCAAAAAAAGCAGTGACATTCTGTTTTAGCAGTATCAAGAGTATAACACACAGCAGTTTCAAAAAACATTATGTGAAAATGTACTGATTTACATTTACTTTACCTCTACACAGTGTTGTTAATTTTAAATGTTTAAAATGTTTTTAAGCCCTCTAATTGAAAATGAAAAGTGTTGACTGAAACAATAAATTAATTCTTTTGGGACAACTTGTATTTCCACTCTGTGATCATTAAAATGTTTAATAGATCATTTCAGGGCTGTGGCTGTTTGAAAGAGAAAAGTTATTTTGAAAGAAAAATGCATTGATGTTCTAACAACAAATAACAGTTTTAAAATTTATTTCATCACAAACTTACAGAAAAGTTGGACTTATTATTAAAAAAAATTTTTTTTCCTGAACCACCGATATATTTCTGGTATCTATTCCTCAGGATATTAGCCTCCCATTTTGTAACAAGTACCAGAGAGAATCAACTTAAGAAAGTTTATTTTGGCTCACAGTTTTGGCAGTTTCAGTCCATGCTGGGTTGGCCCCGTTGGTGGGGCACCATATCACAGTGGGGAGCACAGGACCGAGAAAAACGATCATCTAAATGCAGCAGGGAAACAGAGCCTGAGATAGCAAGAGCCTGAAGACCCACATACCCAGTTGCCCTCTGAGGGGCAGGGCATGGCCCCAGTGACCTACAGCCACTCACAGGCCCCGCCTCTTAAAGGTTCCACCATCTTCCAGTAGCTCTAAGCTATTCTAATTGTCCCACGAACATCCTTTGTAGGCCAGTATTTGTCCAGGAACTATTAGTGGTAATTGCTTCACCTGGTCAGTACTGTTCTGACCCCATTCTTTCACTCTTTCCTCTGCTTTGTCCCAAGGGCTGCACATTTTCTCTTTGCCCTGAACAGGGCTGCCCTAACTCTGAAGGTCCAGCATCACCAATCCCTGAGGATACATTCTCAAACTGGCAAAGCTGCCTTTTCTATTCATGTAGGTTGCTAAATAGCTGAGGTCCTGATGGCTGCCCACTGACTTGCATCCCCTGCTCCTGGAAGTGGCTAGCAGGCCTTTCAGAGTAGCCTGCCAATCAATTTTGGCGTTGGCCATGAAGTCAGCTGCTGGTCTTAGGTCACTGGGGGCATGGCCTTGCTCTCCTCAAAGGGGACTAGAATCTTGCAGTTTCTCAATGAATGTGTTTCCCTGTACAGACAGAGAAGAAATGAACAAAATAGAAGAAAGGGTGGAGTCAGGAGAGTAGTGGGCCAGTGAAGCAATTACCAGCCATAGTTCCCAGAGAGGCCATCAGCAGATATTGGCTCATTACTGATGGTGGAGTACAACATGAAGTGGTATATGTTGAAGGTTCCACCTTATCAGAACACTAAACTTCTATAGAAAGAAATATTCTAATCCTTAGTGGGGAGGTTGATCCAGCAGAGCAATGTACTGGACCACCATGAGCAGCAGCAGAGATGTAACTTCATTTTGCAAGGGCAAATTTTGGGGGGTATATGATGTGAAATAGTCAAACTGAAACCAAAGATAGTTACTATGGCATAGATTGGCCAAATGATGATCAATGGATATAAGAATTATATATGTATCTGGGTGTGGTGGCACAGGTCTATAATCTCAACACTCTGGGAGGCTGAGGCAGGAGGAGTGCAAGTCTGAGCCTAACCTGGGAACTTTAGCAAATTAGCAAGACTGTGCCTCAAAAACAAAACAAAACATAAATGAATAAGGCCAGAGATGTAGCTCAGTGTAAGAGCCCTGGGTTCTATCACAGAAGAAGGGAGAGGTGAAAAATATTTCCTGACGTCTTAGACAATCTTAAAGGAGACTGGTCTTGGGTTCTAGTGGAAAACACTACCGAGCAAAGGAGTTTTATTATGTAATTAATGATTTGACAGCTGCCCCAATCTCCATGTCTCCAGAAGAAGATTCTACATGTGAGTGTCTCAGACCGATTCTTGACATCTCCATGAAATATTGAAACAAGATAGGAAACAAGATAGGAAAACTGAGTCAGTTTGACAGAAGCCCTGCTACTCCATGAAAAACAGCTTTGGCACCAATATTATCCTGTGGAATTTTCAAAGAATGTTATCTGTATTGCATATTTGCAAGTGTGGATATTTTACATTGTTTGGAAGAAAGCTAAACTTTAAAGGGCTAATCGTGTGTGCTGCAAATAGCCTTCTTGATTGCCAAATCCTATACATGACATCAAAATGAGTTGGCCAACTATGAGTTCCTTAAAGTTTTCTCTTTTTAAAATTATTATTTTTTAATCAAAAAAGCAAGTGGAAACTATATATTCTAATGAGCCAGAGTGTTATTTTTTAAAAAGTCATCTAAAAGACAATTACCACAGCAAATACTGCAAACTATACTAAGCCTAGAATGTGATTTTCATTACTTTTTATAGCTGAATGAGGTTTTTGTTTTATTTTGTGAATCTTAAATTTGGAATTTTGGAGGAATGAATATCATTATTTTGCTTTAGTGGGGAGTTCTTGATAGTGTTTCTCTTCCAAAAAAATTGGTAAGAAAGTTAAAAAATGATTAGCAATGCTTCATTTAAAATTACAAAAGAGAAAAAAAGAGTAAAAAAAAGAATGTTGTATTTTTGTCATTTCATTTCATTAAATAGAACAACATTTTTATTTATCTCGTTGTGTTGATGTTCAAATTAATCAGTTGATTAAGGTGACATCTGCCAGGCTTTTCACTATAAATTCCTCACTTTCTCTTAATAACTAATCAGTATTTTGTAGAAAAGTACTTTGAAATTATATAAATATACTTTTCTTCATCAAAATTTGTATTTATTATTTAAATATATAAATACAGACTTGTGGTTTTTTATGTTATTCTCTTACCGGTTTTATTGATACTCAAATTTTTCTAAATTTGGTCCCAGGGGGTCTCTTCAAGCTTGTTTTTATGCCCTTCTGCTATGTTCTTTCAGCACTCCCTTGCTTTTTGGTACAAAAAAATGCCCCATATCTAATGGTCCCTCTCCTGCTTTGGCCCTGAAATCAGTCATTTCTCCAAAGAACTCTGGTTCTTTTAGTAGAGAATGGCATTTCAAAGCCAAGATCTGGGCACTGGTTATTAGGGTTGTCTTAGCTTCAGCTCTTATAACAAAGTACCACAGAATTGGGTGGACTAAGCAGCAGATGCATTGCTCATAGTCCTGGAGGCTAGGAAATCCAGTATCAATGGGCCATAAGATTCTGCTCCTGGAGAGTTCTCTTCCTGGCAGGTAGACATCTGCCTTCGCACAGCATACACACGTAGAGAGAGAGAGAATGCTCTGGTGTCTTTCCTCTCCATACAAAGACACTAATCACACAACCAGGGCTTTGGCACAACTTCATCTGAACCTAATTACTTCCTAAAGGCCCTACCTCCAAACACCATTACCTTGGTGGTCACAGCTCAATGGAGGGTACATTCAGTCCATAGTAAGGTGTTGATGCTCCCAGGTCCTCTGAGTTGAAGAGTCAGGGTCTATATCTACACCCTTATCTATGTATGTATGGATAAATAAAGAGAAAAACATGATCAGTGGTGATTAGATCAGTGGTGGCAAATCTATGGCACACATGCCACAGCAGGCTGTTTGTTATCACTGAAAGCTCTAAAAGGTTTGCCATCACTGCTTTAGATATTTTTAAATCTGTCTGTATATTGAAAACCATGCATTCCCATCAATACTAATTCAAAAGCAGAGTTAATTCTAGTTTCCTCCTTCTGAATATCTGTAACTCCCTTCCCCAGTAATGAGGAACCTGGGTCCTGTTATCACTTAGATATTTTTTGGCTTGGTCCATGCACCTGTGGTAACCAAGCTTCGGTCTCTGCTTCTCCCTTCCTGATGTAGAGGGCATCTCTACATTCCCTCTTCATTCATTCTCAGTTTCTAGTACCTCATTGCTTGGCCATTACTCTCCTCAAACTCCAGACATCTGAACTTTCTGGAACTTGAACTCCTCACTGTGGGTTTCCCTGCAATTCAAAGCCCATCTCACTCAAGTCCTTCTTGCCTTGTTTGGCTCTGGCTCCTCATGTCATAATCCCATCACCATACCATGTGGTCCCTATCTTCACCCTGCTTAGGCTCCAATGTCTTGTGTGAGCTCATTCCCTCTGTGTGAACTTCCTCACCCCAGTCCAGCTCCTATGCTCACATCAGGTTGTGGCCCACAGCCTCTCCTTGGCTTCCATGGGTGTAGATGTTTACTTGTTCTCTTTTGCCTTTATGGCTGACTTGTTTGTGAAGAAGAGTCCGAATACTCCTAAATATGTGTTGTAAAGATTATCTCTGATGAATCTGGTTGAATTAGAGGAAAAAGTGAGCTACAGGCACTGTATGTATTGTTTCAAATGCTACTATGTTACTTAATTCGCTGTGAAGGAGAGGCAGTTATATTTACTTGTAAGTCCTCATTAAGGCTTTGCTTTGGACATTAATCCTGCTAGAATTTGGATGGGGAAAAAGCTACCATTTATTAGTGCAAAGAGTGATTCAAGAGGAAAAGTAACTAAGAAGAGCTTTCTTAAGAAAATAAGATAAAGGAAATCTTATTTTTGCTTGTTCATTCATTCCTCAATACGTCACTGTACAAATTTTCCTCAGAGATCTAAATTACAATTGATCACAAACATCAGAGTAAGGCATTTGTCCTTGTATTTGGTGTCAGCAATGGAAAGGCTCTGAGTAGGTCTGAGTAGGAAAAAGCATAAGATTGTGAGGAAAACTATAATTTCTAATGGCTGCATTTTTAAAAAAAATCATAAATACGTTGTATATTTTATTAACTGTTTTTAGGATGCGTGGTATAAAGTAAACTGATTGGGCCAGGAAAGCTGTTTTATACTTTGAGTACTAATAGATTTGCTGGTTTTATGGGTTAATAAAATATTTATTCCATTTGGATAAATCTGCCTTGGTATTACTCCCTCCCTTGTACTGCCTTAGTGCTACCACAGTAATCAATCAATAATTATTTATATTTACAGTAAGCATAAAGGTATAATAAGAAGTGTTTGATTTTGGAAAAGCACCTTCAACACTGTTTATTATTGAAGCTAAGATATAACAAGACTGTTACACAAACAGGCTGGAAGAGGTTGGAGAGGCCTGCCTACTTACTCTTCCAGCTAGACAGGCAGGGCTTGGCATCACCCAGTACCATGGATCACAGCCCTCATGGCCCCAAGTGTCTCTTCAAAGTGCACTTGGTGAATCAGAGCAGGGTAGAATATAAGACAAGGAGAGAGCGGAGGACAGCCAGACAGTGGGAAGGCAGAGGTTACTGGGAAAGGTGGAAGGGAACACATGGCAGGCCGAGGGACAAAGAGAGGGACTAGAAATGGAAGGAAGGGAGAGAAGGAAGAGAAAAGCAACTGAGAAGACAGAGGAAGACAAAGTCATTGAAAGGCGAGATTATCAGAGGAAATACAAATCTACAGGATGAATGTTGAAGAAAAAACAGGAAAATATCATACACATAACAATTTGAAGGCGATTAAAATATACATTGCTAATTTTAAAGACAACATCCTCTGTACTGTGACCTATGGCCAGGTCAAGCAGACTCCTTTGTTTTGCCAACGTAGTGAAGTTCATAGACTCCCACTGACACATAGGGAACATCCACTTGTGAAGGAAATATAAAGGTGAATTTGTATTGTTCTTTAACTTGTGGCTGCCTTAACTTATACAAGAAATGGGAAAAAATCCTTAGATTACACTTCCTTGAGTTTACATAGTATCTTCAAAGATTTTTAATTAAAAGCATATTCTACACATGTTACAATATTATTCTGAGGTAGATAAGAGATATGCAGTTTTTACCCCCATTCTACAAAAACAAAGCAAGATGTAAGAAAGAAGGATTTAATTATATACACAAAGTTTAGAGTAGCAATGATTTGCCTCAGTTGTCCTGTTTCAATCAGGTGTGACAAAATTTAACTAATTTCATACATTGCAACTGATGAAACTGTTTGAATTGACCCACATTACAAGTAGATTCAACTTGGCCGAATGAAAGTACATTTCAAACTTAATCCCCTGAATGCAAAACTGTAAGGATTATGCTCTCATTAGCCTTTTATTTCTGTTTCCCTTCATTTGAAGATTTCCCTGAGCCCCAAAGATAAGTTCATACTTGGTGCTGTTTTTTTTTTTCTTTTTTTTTTTTTTTTTTTTGGTACTGGGGATCGAAACTCAGGACCTTGCGCTTGAGAGGCAGGCGGCGGAGCTAAATCCCCGGCCCCTTGGTGCTGTCTTTAGCAGCATTATTTTCTCTTACAAGCTCTGGCTAAAAGAGTGTCCACCCCACACATCAACACACATGGGCTTCAGGGCAGACCCTTCATCCCCACAGTGACCACCACAGCAGTGGTGTTAGAGGCATCTCATGGGTCTTACAATCATTTGTCATTTTATAATTTCATAAAATTCAGTACCATCAAAATATACTTCAATGTAATAAGTTCTTTGGGAGAGAGAAATGGCACATTTCTTGTCTTTAGGGCACTTAATATGGCTCATAAAATTGTTTGCTTTTCCTCCTTGAAACTTGCTTTGCTTTGGCTTTTGTATCTCTTAGTGAATATTGTTTTTCTGGTTTCTGTTTCTTCACACTGTAATGTTGTGTTCTCATTGTTCTTTCAATACTGATCTGAATAAACCCTAGAGTATTGCAAGTCTGTATTTTCCTCAGAAAAGAATGTTCTCTTCGTTAATGCCAATAATTTAATATTCTACGGTCTTCACAACAGAATTAGCAAAACTTTCTTGGAAAAATTTGTTTTCATAAGGTATTTAAAGTAAATTCTTTGGGTTTATTGCCCAATGTGCAGTGCAATTTTCCTCAGAAATATAGCAGTTTTGACCAAATCCTCATCAATCACTAAGCCTCAGGGCCAAACATGACAACATAGGAACAACATGAGTCTGAGTAGTGAATGTGACTGAAATACAAACAAAATATGCAGTTCTCAAGACCCGCAAAGTATTGGGAGACAAAACTGTGAGCAAACAAGATTATAATATGTAAGAGGTATGCTGGACGTAGCCTCAAACTATATATTTTTCCGGAGCCACTCAGCTATCCTGGCACTTCGCTTTTTGGTTTTGAGATTTTCATTCTTTATTGTCTGTAATTGGGCATGAACTGTAATCCTCTGGTGCTCCTCCAACATGTTACTGAAAAACTGCTGCAGCTGGAAGGATAGAGAGACATTTTATCAGTGCGATCTAACCTCTTATTATACAAAACAAAGTTCTTGCTAACTGGTAACATGATTTTGCAAAGGAGTAATGATGTCTGGAGTGAGTAGGAATGTGTATTCCTAGGCTGTGTGTCCCCCAGGGGAGTCTGCGACTAAGATAATGTGATGAAGACCACACCTGTTCCCCTGTTCGGAAGAATTAAATGTGAATAGAAAGTCCAGTATGCAAGAACTTACTTCTGAGTATTTTAGCTAAATTGTCACTATTTGCAAATGACAAGGTCTTATCTTTAGAAAACCCCAAAGATTTCATTAGAAAAAAAAAAACTATTAGAACCAATAAGCAAACTTAGCAAAGTTGCAGGACACAAAATCAATTTATAAAAATCAGCAGTTTTGTTGTACTGGAAAAAAATCAGGAACGCTACCCTATTTTTCAGTAGCTACAAAACCCAAACCAAAACAAAAAACAGTAAAATTTTTAATCAAAGCAGAGAAAGAGGTCTGTAAAGAAAACAAAAAACACTGAAGAAAAAAATCAAAGTACATACAAAATAAATAGACATCCTATATTCATGGCTCAGAAGAATCAGTATTGGTAAGATGTCCATACTATCCAAAGTAATTCACAGATTCAATATAATCCCTATCAAAATACCAATGACATTCCTCACAAATCTAGAAAAAAATTACTAAAATTTGTATAAAAATACAGAAATCCCCGATAGCCTAAGCAATCTGGACCAAAAAAGAATAAGGCAGGAAGCATTATACTACCTACCTTCAAATGTATTTCAAAGTTATTAAAACAGCATATTACCATAAAAAACAGACCAATGGAACAGAACAGAGAGCCTAGAAGTAAAACTACATATTTACAGCCAACTGATGTTTGACAAAGGTGCTAATAGCATGGATTATAGAAAAGACAGTCTTCAATAAATGGTGCTAGGAAAATGGGTGCGTATGTAAAGAAGAATGAAATTAGACCACTACACACAAAAATCAACTCAACACAGGTAATGGGGAAAAAAATAAGAATCAAGATATATCATGTACAGGTACAAGCACCCAATGATAAATGTAAATGTATTGTATACCTAAAATGTGCCAATAAAAGAATTTAAGCAAAAAAAAAAAATCAACTCAAAATGGATTAAAAACCTAAATGTAAGACCTGAAACTATGAAACTACTAGAAGAAAACATTTCATAAAACTAAAAAGTTTTTACACAGCAAACAATTAAGGATGTGAAGAGAGAACCTCCAGAGTGGCACAAATTGTACTTCTTGAGAAGGGGTCAATGACCAGAATATATAAGGAATTACAAAAGTACAACAGCAAAATAAGTATGATGATAATAATCCCTATTAACAAGTGAATAACAGATTTAAATACAGTAGGAATTTCTCAAAAGAAAACCTACAAATGGCCAACAGTTATATTTAAAAAAATACTCAGAATACTTAATCATCAGGGAAATGCAAATTAAAACCACCTTACCTTACTTCAGTTAGATTGACTATTTTAAAAAAAAAAAAGACAAAAGCTAGGAAGTGTGTGAAAGGATGTGGAGAAGTGTGTGTGTACATTAGTGACGAGAATATAAATTAATACAGACATGATGGAAAGTAGTAAGAAGGTACCTTAAAAAACATAGAACCACCATATTATCCAACAATCCCACTACTGTGTGTATATCCAAAGAAAATGAAATCAGTGTATCAAAGAGATGTCTGCACTCTCATTTTTATTGTAGCTCTATTCACAATAGCCAAGAAATGGAAACAATCTAAGTGTCCATCAACTGATGACTAGATAAAGAAAATGTGCAACATATGCACAAAGGTATGCTCTTCAGTAAGTAAAAAAAATGAAATGTTATTTGTGACAACATGGATGGAACTGGAAATCATTATGTTAAGTGACATAAGCCAGGCACAGAAAAACATACTGCATGATCTGACTCATTTGTGAAATCTAAAAACAGTTGATGTCATAGAAGTTGAGAGTAGAATGATGATTACCAGAGGCTGGGAGAAAGTAGAGGAGAGACAGGGGTAGATAAAAGTTGATTAATGGGCACTAAGTTAGAGTTGGGTGGGAAAAAGAAGTTCTGTTGCACACCAAAACTATAAATGATGGCTATAAATGGTGGCTATAAACAGTGATAATGTATGGCATCTTTTACAGCTAGAAGGAGGGATCTTGGATGTTTTCACCATAAAGCAATGATAATTGAGAAGATAATGAGGAGCTATATAAGTCTGTCCTGATTCGAACATTACACAATGTATAATCATAGGGCATTCCATAAATGTGTTTAATTTTATATATCAGTTAAATTTTTAAAGGAATTTTTAAAAAGCATATTTTGACAGTGAATTCATCCACTGGTTAAATTCTGCATTGGGTTGGGTTAAGGGTTCAGTTATTGGAACATTTGCTACAATATTTTATATAAGCCAGGCGCCAACTGAATAATAAGTTATCTTCCAAAAGTCTATTTTCTGCATCCGTACTTTTGTTTCAACACATATCACTGTAACAGAGTACCCATACCACATCATCAATGCTCACTTAAGCCCTGATGCACTTGAAATTGAATAGTAACAGGGCCCATAAGCCTAATTATACCATAAAAGAAAAGTAAATTCTAGGAGAAAGTAGGTTACAGAGCTAGGAACAAGCCTCTCACTCTCGCCTTCCCTGCCCATACTTCCAGGAGGTGGAAGCCACATACCCACAACTCCATGCCACAGGTGATGTGTTCGTGACGGGACTGCTGCAGTGGTGGCAGGGGGATGGGGAGCCTGTGGGACCTCAGGGAAACTCCATGTGCACTTAAGGGTATGAGTGAGGCCAGGTTCCTGGCAGGGGAAGCCATAAAGACCAGGGTCAGAGTTGTGGAGTTGTGGAGCTGTGGGAGCTGGGAGGGTGGAGAGGGACAAGGGACTCAGATGATTGCTTTATACCTTGCCATTTTAGCATTTATTTAGCTATTGTCCTGTGAACTGATGTGATCGAGTAAAACTGTTGGACATTGAAACATTGTTGACAAAGATACTTGATATAGCTAATTTGTTTTCAGAATTGCAATAATCTAACTACTGCTAAATCTATTTTTGCACTAAAAAACAATTATGACTATAAAGTTTTGGAAAGTTGAGAATTGCTAAATTTATACAAGCCTTATTCATTCATTTGTTAAACAAAAACAACAAAACTGGATTCTGTAAAGGCAAAGATTAACTGTGTATATTAGAAGATACAAACACAGTGGATATGATCAAAATACATTACATGCATGTATGAAAACACCACATTGAAAACCAACATTTTAAAAAATTAATAGGCACTAATAAAATATAGAAAATACATAATAAAACATACATTAGCGAAAAGAAGAGAGCAAACACAAACTCAGTCTTGATCCTGAGAGTTTTCATTCCTAGCATGCTGTGTGTGTTCTCTCTTTTCCAGGGAATCCCTGACCCATCTGATCCTGACAGCACAGCCTCAGGTAGGCCAAAACCCAAAGAAAGATCATTCCTTTGGCAATTAGCAGTTCTCCCTCTCTTATTATCACAGCTACATAACTTACTGCTTTTCCTTTATTTTTATTTATTTATTTTTTGGCTTATAGGCTAAGATCCAATTTCAAGCCTTGGGACCTACACATTTATTTATTTGCTTGGGGAGGGGCTGAGGTTTTTTTCTCATTTATACAGCCTCTTCCTATATTTATTAATATAGTACCAGGTCCTAGTGTTTAATTTTATTGGGATATAATATATATAATAAACGATATCAGGTTAAACTTAATGAATTTTGATACAGTATAGACCTTTGAAACTATAGGAACAATCTGGACAGGATGCATTTCCCTTACCCTGAAAAGCTCCCTCATGACATTTTGCAGCTCTCTCCCTGGCTGCCAGGCAGCCACTGATCTGCCTTTTATTACTCTGGATGAGCTTTCTTTTCTCAAAATGTGACTGGTTTCCCTTACTCAGCCTAATTGATGTGTGTGGCTAAATAAATTTATTCCTTTTTTTGTTTGGAGGTAGTATTCCATCGTGTGGTTATATTACCTCTTCTTCCTAATCCCTTGACCTGATGACTTCCAATTCTTCCCTAATGTGAATAAAGCTGCTATGAACATTCATGTACAAGACAGGTCTTCTTTCTCTTGAGGAAAAAAACCATCAAAAATGTAATGTTTAGGTCATGTGTGTCTGATTAACATTTTCAAAAAACTACCTGTTTCCAAAATGGTTGTACCAGGTTATGGTCCCACAATCCCAAGTAAGATGAAAGGGTACAATTGTTCCACATTTTTTCAAACTTTTGGTGCTATAAATCTTTCTAACTTACCTATGCTACTGGGTGTGTGAAAATTATATCTGTATTCTTGTTTTACACTTCCCCCACCCCAGTGCCTGGGGTGTGAGGTGGGCTGACTCCAAGAGTGGGCACATGATCCAGGCTGAACCAATCAGGGTATCCCACCTCCTCAAACACATACACATACAATGATTTGTACCAAGACAAGCAAAGGTCCTTTTTTTTCTTCTTCTTCTTCAGAATAGGAACATGATGCTGGGTAAAAAAGGATCCCTCCTTCTGCAACAGAGGGTCCTGATAGTATTAAAGCCTGGAGATATGCTTGCTTCCCTATGAAGCCTGCATAAGAAGAAATTCAGCCCATAGGAAAGCAAATAGAAGAAATAACAATCCCTGTCTTATGCTAATATATAAATATGGCTGATACAGTGTCAGTCCTCAAGGAATTCACCATAGCTCACAGGACAGAATATTTACACACTGATTACAGAATAAGGCAGTAAGTCCTATGATAAAGATATTGATAGGATGATTTGGGGGCATGGAGGAGGAAAGTGTATAGATCCATTCACTAAAAAAATTCCTAGACTAGGTGGTTGGGAATTATCCAGCCAAGAGCAGGGATGGGGATGGTACCCCACAAAGAAGGTACAGAGTTGGTGAAGTCTAGAAAGTAGAAACAACATGATAATTTAGCAGAACCCCCAATGATACATACAGCTAGAGGAAAAGTACTGGGGGTATCTGTCAGTCTCTCTTGCTCTCCGACACTCTAAGGTGAAGTGGCAAATCTGAACCACAGAGTAAGACAGAGAATGGATCATAAAGGGCTTCATGTGTGAATCAAAATATTTGTTAAATTTCTTCTAAAAACCATAAAAAGCTACTGAAGCTTCTGGAGTGGGCAATGACTGGCACCAATCTGAAAGCTTGGATGGTGGGAAGAACAGCCTGGTAGAGGGAGCCTGTGTCAGAGACCACTGAAGGAATTCAGGTAAAAGGATGAAGTCCAACCTCCATAAACAGAGCAGTCTATTTCAAGGCAAGGATGCAGTTAAATACCAACCACCTCCTTCACAGTGATAAGAGGACCAATGGAAGCACCGATTGCAATAATTTAAATAAACACATGACTTCTAATTTTAGTTCAAATTTTATCAAAAATACTTTCTAAATTATCATTATATTTCACAGTATTTAAAGTTCTTACCTCCATGATTTGTAGATCTGTACTTATGGTTCTCCCTATTGTATACATTAGAGTAACCAGTGATTGTGTCCCATACCTACAAAGCAATACAATGCTAATCAGGTATCAAAAGTATTTTGCAAAATACAGTTGTATGTTATGAGCAGAGAAAAAAGCTAAATATGCAACCCCTATTAATTCCTATTTTCCAAATCTAAGCAAAAGCAATTAGTTTAGCTGCACTGTTCTATAGAAAAATCTATTTTATAGAAAATTCTATTAACACTAAATGAATATTTATAGTTAAATACTGATTTGTGTAGCATCATTTTAAAAAAGTTTTATGTAAATATAGTAAACTTTTTTCTAAAAACTATTTTTAATGAGGTAGTTAGAACACATGTCTTGTGTCTCAAATTAGGAAAAGTTATAAGGGAGTAAATAAATATTAAATTATGTCCCTCAAAAGACAATAATACAGGATCAATTTCAGAACTATTCATTAAAACACACTGCAGTATATTTGAAAGGTTAATTCGTATATGCTTTTGGAGAGAGGACCCCGTCTTTGGATATTCTCTGAGTAACTCCAGGCTCAGCACCATAGCTAACTGAGCCTCCTCCAGCAGGCATGGTAACTCAGAGTCCCCCTTTAGTGCAGAGTTCTTGAATATCCAACAAGAGTCATCCAACAAAAATGGTGAAGTGTTTCTATGGAAAAAGAACAGATACGTACCTTTCCCCATTGTTGCTGCAGTTAAAAAGTAAATAAGGGACTTTGGAATGCATTAAAAAAGAAAGAAAAATTAAAATAGGGTTATTATAATGGACAGAACAAGAAATGGTTAAATGTTTAAACTGTCTTGGTAGTTAATATACAGTGAATTAATTCAAAAATGTATTTTTGAAATTGAAAGTCATAAGGATTAATTTTGACATATGAACAAATAAAAGTGAGAAAAAACAGAGCTATGTTTTTTAAGGTCCTAGCAGTAAGTAAAACTGTGGCTACTTCAGAAAGGAGGTGGACAAGACAGTCAGGGAAACAAACCTGTGTTTATGGAAAATGAGGAAATATCTATTTGCTCTCCATTTTAATTAGCCAAGAAAAAAAAGCCCGTGAGATGACATAAAGAATTGAGTTTTAACAAAAATGAATTCCAACCTTAAAAACAAAAGTATAAAACAGAAGAAAATCTGCCTAATGTGTTTAACATGTGATTTCTTACCAAATACAAGAGAAAGGTTACCTCAAGAGGCAAGGCTGCCTTGAAAGTTATCTGGTGCAACTCATAAATTGTAAAAATGAGAATTTAGAAGCATTATTCTGAGGACTCGAGAGCTGAGATACTGTACGTGGAAGTGCGTACTCTCCATTCCTCCCTGATCTCAATTATAAGAGGAGTAAGATAGGGTTTTATCACTCTTGTGAGAGCACGTTCTCTTGAAATATTCCTGAACAAAAATATATACATTACAAATAGTTTATCCCCATAAGTATTCAAACGGATTCTAATTAATATAAAGACAAGAGCCAATATGTGTCAATATATTATCCCATTGAAGACAACAGTATCCCGAGGATTTAGCTCAGTGGTTCTGCCGCCTGCCTCAAAAGCTCAAGGTCCCAAGTTCAATCCCTGGTACCAAAAAAAAAAAGAAAAGACAACAGTAACATCCAGTCATTGGCACTCTAGTCTGCTTGCCATCTGCCTCTCCTCTTTCTCAGTCCTCTCCATTCATCCTGTCTCTACCAGCTCTGGTTCTCTATGGGAAACATGGTCATGAGGCAAGCCAGGGGACACCAAGGCCTGATTCAAGGCCAGGCTCCGGACACAGGCCCTCCAGGGAGGGCTTGAGCACTACACTATGATAACATCTCAGTTTGCATATGTTTCTGTTTAATCTTTTCAACTCTGTGTTCCCCATCTGAAATCAACAGCATAGAAAGGAAAATGAGTTCAAGCTTTTAAGCTTAGCACTTTAGGGTATATAACAATAGTTGGAAGAAATCAAAAGTTTGGTGAAGACAAGGATAAGATTCATTTTGGATCAGTTAAGTTTGAAACTGGCTGTGCCTTGAATTCAATATTCAAATAGGGCCGGGGATTTAGCTCCGTGGTTCTGCCATCTGCCTTGCAAGCGCAAGGTCCCGAGTTTGATATCCCCGGTACCAAAAAATAAATAAATACATAAAAATTCAAATAAAATAATTTTCCTGTAGACTGTGAAGAACACTTAAGGTACAAATATTCCTTCTATCACACCAATAAGAAGTCACAAAAATACTATTTCTTCTTCCTTGTTTAGATTCTTTCATAGGTTCTATCCATAGCCACATGTACCTACTGAATTTTCTGTAACTAGAAAGATGTATGTATGGCCAGTGGAGTCTCCTTCATTGGAGTCAGCACTCAAAAGATCATCTTTGATTCCAAAATTAAGTAAATTCCCCACAGCAGTAGTAGCTGCTTCTGGGAGTGAGGAGAAGGACCAAGCCAAAAGTTGTTTTACTCAATCAAATATTTCAAATATTTCTGGATTAGACTTCTGGGAAGAATTCTAGGCCTGGTTGAGGTGAGGAAAGGTCCATAGTCTGCTATGGGTAGTACTCTCAGCACCAGCACCTGACCTTTGAGTCTTGGTTATTAATTGGTAATGTTTCAGGTGGTTATAAAAAGCATAATATTGCATATATAAGCATGTTATTTAAAGGACTAAACCTGAGAAATTTAAAAAATTCTAATCATGGTCTTCCAACAGTGCTGAGGGATGTTATCAATGTCATCAAGCAGAAAATAATGATATTGAGAAAAAGAAATAAACTGATTAACATAGGGACTCATAATAAGATAGGCATATAAAGTCTAAAATAATTTAATAATAATGAACATTAATCATTTGTTGTGTGCCAAGTACTTTAACTAACACATTAAGAAATCATCTTAAAATTTAGTTCTGACTACCCTGTTTATAAATTAAAAACTGAAGCTCAGCTTTAAAATCTTGTCAATGTCACACATCAGCAGTCTCACTGTAAGAGTGACTTGATTCTAGATTCTGTATTTTTTGTTCTATGACACACTATGTCTTTAATGGAGAAATAAAAAAATAGAAACACAATAAATAAAAGGACAAAAGAAAGTATCTGAAAGATGCTTATCATAATTCTCAGAGGAATAAACCACAACTTTGCTGTACTGCTTTTTGCAGATTGGCCCCCATTTCCTCCATTCTACAGTTGCCCCAATAGCCTTGTGACTGTTAAGGCTGATCTGTTAATGGCATTATCCTTCTGCTCTGCTTTCCTTCCCAGCCACCACAAGCTGAGCAGTTTTGCTCTACCATGGCCTTTCTGCCACGAACTTCCTGGCTTGGAGCCTGTCGACCATGTGAATTTCCTGAAACGTGAATTAAAGAAAACTTCTCCTCCTTGGGTACTGTATGCTGCAATGGGAAAGCTGACTAACACAAATTTTAACACACTGTCACCATCAAGTACAACCAGTGTGTGCCTCACATCCTACACAAGTTAGAAACGAGATCACCACTGAAGAGTGCACAAAATCAAACTCCTTGGCATGATTTGAGGCCTGTCATCACCCCCTGACTCCAAACTCATCTTCTTAGCCTTATCTTCCCTTTTCCAGTGCTTCAAGCTTTGGAACTCAAACGGTACTTGTGACCAGTTTAAAATCAACCTTCCAGTTCTGCCTCTAGATATTTTCCAGTGTCTAATCTTCCAAGTAGAAGGAATTTTCCAACTCCACCTATTCAAATCACAACCAACTCCTTTTTGCTCTTTGAATCCCCAAAGCCCTTGCTATTTCTCCTTTACCACATTCATCAGACTCTATGACCTAGTCACTTTACATCCCCAGCAATGGCATGAACTGTACCTTATAATACCTTATTATCAGAAAGAACCTTAAAATGTATCAAAACCCAACCTCTGTCAATTTAAAGGAAAAGAGAAAAATAAAGCCCAAATATCACCTAATGGGCAAACAATAAACAGATGTTTCAGAGCATAGGATTGGAAAATTCTGTATCTTTTATCTCTTTCTTCTGGAACAACTGGTCTACTAGGAAAATGATTCTTTGTTGATATTAGCATACTCCAAGCTGGAGATCAGAAGGACTGTCCCTATAAGATGCTAGGTTGCCAAAATGCATGGAAAACTAAATTTCTTTTTACAGGGCTTCTTGGAGACTTTACAATGATAAAATACATTGTGAGTTTACAAAAACGAGGGCTAGAATAGACAGTTTTGAAACTGTGTGGGCTATTTTTCTTTTGTTCACTGCTTCCATGAGTAACACATAGCAAAACACACTTGAGAAATACTAAGTATTAACTTGTTAATGATCAGTTACATTTTAGAAAATTCAGTATAAATACTTTTCACACAGTTAATATAAAATTTAATTGGGGCATAAGCTATTTTCACTTATATTTTTATACTATCTTCATTACTTGAAGACTGTCGACATTCAAATACTCATGTAAAATATAACTTTCATAAGTGACAGATATTCTGACTTACAAAAAAACTAAGCATACCTGTGCTGTTTTAAGTGTTTATAATATTTTAATTATTAAATTGAACCTTTATTTTAATAAATCATATATATTGTTTTTTCAAATAAAACCACTGGCAAAATTGAACAAGACTGCTATATAAAAATTAAACTCTAAAAATTAATGTATTCAATGTAAGCATTTACTGTATGAGCAACATACGTAACTGTATGAGTAGCATACAGTGTTTTCTTGGGAATAAGATGAAAATTCAAGACATGGTTCTAAAAGTTCATTCATTTATAATTCTAGGACATTCTTGGAGATTATAACATGACTGTGAATTTTATTTAAAGAAATTACTTGCATGCTCTTATTAAATGCAGTTATGTAGAGAATTTAAATAAATCACTAGAAAACAGACTTTTCAAAGAGTAGAGTTTAAGCCTCAGTAGAATGTTGTCAACATTTTCCTGTTCTTTAAAAATACTCTTCTGAAAGCTAAATGTTAAAATACACATAAAGTCACTTATATTGAGAGCAGTCTTTCTCATCATTAGCACTCTTGTGATTGAGCACGGGTGCAGTATATCTTCTGATTGTTTAAAAATAAACTTCTGTCAGGATAGTTTTAAATTTACAGAAAAAGTTGTAGGAATATTACAAAAAGTTCTGTATACCCTGCACCCACTTTCTCCTGTGGTTCACATTACTATGATACATTTGTCTCAATGAATTAGCCAATGATCCTCTCATTTTTAAGTGAGAAATCTACTGGATTAGAACCATGCCCTTATCACTTATTTTCTACTCTACTGACTTACAGTGGCTGAGTAAGTATAAATATGGGGAATGCATCACAGGAGGATAGGACAGCTATCCAGCAGCAATGCCAAATATATGTCTCAGGTGACATCATGTAGTGGATTCCACAAGTTGCTTAAATCCATTGTGAGATTTTAAAGTGCATGTGTGCGGTGTATGGTATAAGAAGAGAGGAAAAATTAATCAAGGGGCTGCTTTCCTCCTGACATTGGTCCTGTCCAATTGAACTCTACAATGACAAAAATATTCTTTAAGCTATCTAATATGGTAGCCAGTAGCCACACTGAGCACTTAAAACAGATAATGCAACAGAGAAACTGAATTTTTTTTCAGTATTGGGGATTGAACCCAGGGCCTTCACGCTGAACTATATCTCCAGCCCTTTTTTTAAAAAAATTATATTTTGAGACAAGGTCTTGCTAAGTTAATGAGTTGCACAGGCTGGGCTTGCCCTTGCAATCCTCCTGCCCTAGTCCCAGAGTACTAGGATTACAGGTATCCACCACTACACCTAGCCCGAGGAACTGAATTTTAAATTTTATTTTATTTTAACTAATGTCGATTTAAATTCAAATATCCACATGGTAACCAGTGGCTAGTATATTGGGAACTGCAGCCTTATTTGATATTCAATCAGTTTCAGTATACTAGAGTTACCTAAGAATCCAGTGAAAGGTCCAGATTCTCTATCCTATTTTAGAAAATTCTGGTTATGAAGGGTAGATAGGCTTGGGAAACAATGTTTATGAGCCATCCCAGATGATTTTGAACCTCTGCTAAATTTGAAACTCTCTGTTTTGTGCTCAGCTCACCAGTCTATGCGTGGACATTTCTTGGGGCCGAGAAGCACCATTTTGACTCATTTTGACTCATTTTGACCCACAACAATACATATGATTCTTAACACTCTTAGTGGTACAAGCATACAGAGCAACAGGTACTACGAGGTATTAAGCCTGGGAACTAACCGTGAGCCTGTGTCTTCTCAGAAGCCAGTAGTGCATCAGAAGACATACAGAACCTGACAGCCTGTGGTGATTACAACTCCTCAGACAAATCATGACATATTTCTTAAAAGATCTATTCTCTCCACATTCAACTCCAAAATTGCTATTAGAAAGGTTAACAGGAGATTCTGGAGGAGTCAAAAACTTGCAGCTGAAGTGAATGATTGAGCAAGCTGACCAAGGCCACAGGAGGACAAATGGCTTCACAGACCAGGCAAAGTCTGACCTGTTAGACCCAGAGGAGACACAAGAACAGAGAACTTTTGTTAAAAGCTTCAGGAAGAGTGAACAGACACTAAGAGATGACCCCATGAGGGTCAAATCTCCAAAATCTCATGCAATAGGGGAACTTGTGTAAATAATTCTTATTTAAAACTCAACTACCAAATTCTCAGTGGGATGTAGGATTGAAGGAGGGGATTATTTTTAATGATTTAAGTAAAGACAGAAGACATAATTTACCCTCAAGTTCTGAGAGAACCCAGGAAACATAAGGAATGTATATGATCCTCTAAAGAAATGAACTACAAATGACAGATAATCTAAAGTAGGAAAAAAGACAATATTCTCACTGTGTAGGTATAGTATTCCACAAATGAGCTACAGAATAAGTTTTTGTCTACACATTTTAATTTTTTTGATTAAAAACCAGCTCTTTTGGTATTTTAAAGATGTTCAAATGTTTACAGTAGGAAAACATTTCTTTAATTACTCTCTAAGAGAACCAAATCCATATTCATAAGTATTTATACTTATATATACTTATTATTCCAAAAGGATAAACTTATTTATAAAAATTATCTTTTAACTTTTCACACACTTTGAACATAACTATTAGCTACAATAGTGTATCTGCTAAATCTACAACAGCATCTGCTAAATCTACTTCTTGCACACATTGATTCTAGTATTTTAAGAATGTACGGTGAAGCCCCCAGAAAGGATGGCTGCTATCAAGAAATCAACCAATAACAAATGCTGGCGGGGGTGTGGGGAGAAAGGAACTCTTCTCCTTTACTGGTGGGAGGGAAGGATGGTGCAAGCACTATGGAAATCAGTATGGAGATACCTCAAAGAACTAGGGCTGGAGGTCCCATTTGACCCAGCTATTCCCCTGCTGGGGATCTTCCCCAAAGAATTAAAAGAATCATACCACAGCGATATATGTGGACATGTTTATAGTGCACAGTTTGTAATAGCTAAAGCTTGGAAGCAGCCTAAGTGCCCATCAACTGGTAACTGGATAAAGAAGATGTGGGGTTTTTTTTAAAGGAGTACTACTCAGCCATAAAGAATGAAAAACTAGAGTCATTTATAGCTAAATGGATGCATACCGAGGCCATGCTCAAGAGAAATAAATAGGACAAACATGTGTAAATACGGAATAGTTTCTCTAGTGTGAGAAATTGATAGTGTAAATAAGGGTTAAAATGATTAAAATGAATAATTGATAATTTGAAATAGGAAAAAAGGTCCAAAGACATAGGGGTGAAGGAAGGGGAAGGGGAAAGGAAAGGAGGGAAAGAAAAAATTATGAGAAAAGGAAAAAAATGGAAATGATGTCTATGTAAATAGGGAAGAGTGGAGGGGGTGAAGGGCACACAGGTAATGGGGAAAAAATAAGAATCAAGATACATCATGTACAGGTACAAACACCCAATGATAAATGTAAATGGATTGTATACCTAAAATGTACCAATAAAAGAATTTTTTAAAAAGAATGCATGGTGAAGTAATAATCTAGAAAGACAGTCATCAAGGCTATGCTCTCTGTTTTTTATATGCTAATATATGTTTTACTGAATAGAGGTGCTAGGAAGCAAGCAGATTTACTCTTAAAATACAAAACGTGTTAAAAGCTCAATAATATAGGATTTAGATATATAAAGGGAATCTGCCAAAAATTAAAGACATTAGCAACATCTAGACCAAGGGACCAGCATTGTTTCTTTAAAATGTGGTGATGTCAATGAATAAATTAATGGTGTATACTCACAAGTAAACATGACTTAATCAAATGTATGTCCCTTAAGAAAAATTTCTTTGTGGGCATAATGGGGAAACTGAAGTAGGTAAGTATTCTAAGCTAATCCATTTTCACACAGAAAGCCAAAATTGAGAGTAAGTGACCTCTTCCCAGTTGGTAATAAGACAAAATGCAGGAACCATCATAATTTTGCTAGTCAGTGCAAAGGATTATTGTGACCTAGCCAGACAGTTGTACTTCTATCAAAAACCAGTTACTTAAATGAAATTGAGATCTCAGCTTCCTTACCTTTCACTCACAGTTTGCCAATTGTCGACTAAAAAGTCCTTTGCGACATATCGGCCAACTTCAGATGCTGCCACAGCTTCTATTACATTTGTTTCATTAAAAGTGAATGGAGATGCAGTGATGGCATACTGCATATATCTGAAAAAGTGTATTCACAAAAAGTAAGCTTTAAGAATCCAATACAGAGTAAATAAATAGACTAAAATCTCATGGTTCTAAGTTAGTAATGTACAAATGTGCTTTTATTTTAATTCTATTAGCATGTTTCTACTTTTCTCTCTTTGGTGTATAAATTACATTCTTCCACCAGTAACTTTCAAATTAAGTTGACCATAACTACCTGTTAAGTATCCATGGGTCTTTACTGCAGCACATTGCATAAGCAAGTTGAATTCTTTCCTCTTCTTCTGTTGTGTTAGTGTAGACGTTTAACAGAAAATCCCATTCTTTATCACTTCCCAAGGCAATGCCATAGCATAAAATCACACTTTTAATCGGATTAGGTATTCTGTAAGATATAACATGCAATGATATTTCTCATAGTAGTTAAATTATCCAGGTTGTCGTATATTTTTGGTTTTTTGTGTTGGCTTTTTTTTTTTTGGTACTGGGGATCAAACTCGGGACCTTGAGCTTTCGAGGCAGGCACTGGAACCACTGAGCTAAATCATCAGTGCCAGGTTGTCGTATGTTTAGAAGTATAAATCTAGAAAAAATTGAGACCTCAGATATAAAAATCAAAAGCAATGATCTACAAATGAAATTGTGAGAACTGTACAAGCATTAATACATTGAAAAGAGATCATCAAATTAGCTTAGAAATGAATCTAAGTTTTCAGAAAGACGTGAGTTAGAATGCTGCAGGGCAGATTGGTTGTATATCATCACATTTCTTAAGAGTCCATCTCAGGTGGAATGTTAGAGGTAAAGCCAAAACAATAGACTCATAGTCTCTGGTCTCAATGAAAGTGCGAACTCCGAGAGAGAGAGAGAGAGAGAGAGAGAGCTACTCTGATATATTCATATATATAAAACATTAATAAACAATAATAAAAAATTAAGACTCAAAACAAGCATATTAGATTTCAGTGTGTTTATTGAGAGATCACTAGTGACAATTCACTATATAAATTCTAATCTTCTACTGTTATGCACAGACCTGTAGGCAATCGTCTTTAAAAGATATTTAAAAAGAAATCAGAGATTAATTAGGAGAAAGCAAAGTGATCACTTTCACTGTGAAACTATCAAAAAGGCAGAGAAATTCCTGATGCTAGTAGGACAAAAACAAAGGGAATTAGATTACTCTTACTTATTCTCTGGATGGCTCATCCATTTTCTGAAGAGTTCTCTTGACAGCTGAAGACAGTCTTCAAAATCGAACCCACATGCAGTTGTGAAAAGTTTTTCCAGTGATATTCTTGAAGGAAAAGACAAATAAAAGCATTTCATTTTGCATTATCACCTTCACTTTGTCTGCTTCCAAGAATGTTTATTTCATGAAAGGATGAATACTTCCAAACAGCTTTCCATAACATCACATTTGTTTTAAAAACTAGTTTTTGCAGATGACAAATGTCTTTAAGATTCAGAGAAACATTTGCTGAGGAGCTCTGAGGCACCAAGAAAAGCTCCTAAGACTAGTGTATTTTAAAAGTTAGAAATAAACTACTGCTATCTTTCATCTCCCTCAAAGACACATGGATGTACACATACTCCACATCTGTTACCAATTTACTCTTCCTCCCTTTTGCAATAATTGCTTATGGATTAGAAAATGTCTGCAGTATCTGGTCTGATATGTTTAAAAATAAAATTCTTTATACAAGAAAAGGAAAGAAAATAGTGTATTTCTCTCCTTCTACAGTTTGCTTTCCCTTGCTTAAGCATCTATTTCTTTCCTTACTTCTCCTGGCCTTTATATACATGTCCAGGAAAACCACAGAGCTGTGTGTTTGGTTTGCTTTGTTTTTATCGTTGAGAAGAAGCATGCATTGTGGTTCAAAACAAAACAAGTTGGACAAAATATAGTAAAGAATACCACTAAATCCAGGTAAATAGTACCTTTTAGTGTATCTTACTACCCTTCTCTGATTTTAGGTCTAAGTAGAGGAAGCCAAACATAAGTTTCCAGAAAATGCAAGAGCCAAATCTCTGTTGCCCCACCCTCCAGTTTCAACCTAGTGGAACTCGACCTTCTGATAAATGGGCTTGGCATTTCCAAGAGCAGAGGTCCTCTGAGAGACAATTCTGGGCATCATTTATACACCCACTCCCTCTGCCTCCCAAGCCAACTCCAAACTGGCTGTAACAAGATGGAGTTCTATGGAAATACAGTCTGTCTCCAAAAGAAGAACTGGCCCAAGATGCCTCAGAAAATGCCCCAATTCAGACCAAAGTAGGAGAGCTGTGAGTATGTCTGGTTAATATACGTGCTGTCTAATGGAGCACAATTTTTCCTTCCCTTTCTTTCACACAATTTGCCTGTACCCACTCTATCCTAGACATGTCCTCCTTGTTTCCATCTACTGGTCCATTCCATTCCATATCCTTTCTGTTACTAAAACTTCTAGCACTAAAATTTCTATCTTCTCTAAAGGATACTATTGTGAAAGAACAATCACATTTCGTTTATTTTGTATTTCTCCATTGGTCTAATTATTTAAGCTTAATGTGGACTAGAAGTTGTAGCTTTAATGTCTGTACTATTTTTGGCAACAAATACTCTTCCTAAATCTAGAAGTCCAGCCTCCACATACAAACCTCATGTTGCCTTTCACTCCTTTCCAGACCATCATGACAGTATGTTTACTCCCCACAGGAGGGAAATTTGCAATACTTAATCATAATCACATAAAAGTCACAGATATGTATCACTGACAACCTACTTCAGCGCTCCACCCTGCCCCCTGTGGTACTAGGGTTTGACCCAGGGCTTCATTCCAAGCTCTCTCTCCCCCTTTTTTTCCTTGAGACAAGGTCTTCTTAAGTGACTAAGTGGCCCAGGCTGGACTTGAACTTGCTATCCTTTTACCTCAGCCTTCAAAAATGCTAAAATTATGCACCACCACCCCTGGCTACCTCATCACATATGCATCATAGTAGAATTCCTGTTAACAATAATACACAGAAGGGACTTTTTCTCTGTGGCCTTCCCATATGTTTCATCTTACTAGTATAGGGTAGTTTTGCTTAGCACAACCTATCATCATTAGCAGGACTCATTTACAACTTCAACCATAGCCTAAATTCTAAGAATTTAGCACTATAAACTGTGTGTACATGCATGTGCCTTGTAGGTAAATTAAGATCCCAAGTTATTATTTCCTGTGAGGATATATGTAGCCCATCAATCTCAGTACTATTGTTCTCAAATAGCACACAAACTGTCTTAGTAAACAATAGGTATTAGCATTTTATTTTATGAATCTGGAAGCCCATCTTTTCCTTTTTTGGTACCAGGGATCAAACTTGGGATCTTGCGCTTGTGAGGCAGGTGGCAGAACCACTGAGCTACATCCCTGGTCCAGGAAGCCCATCTATTAATATGAATCATTTTATTCAGTTATCACTGCTTTAAAATACTTACAGAGCTAGATAGTCATCTTGCAATGCTGCCACGTTTTCACGAATTATAGTTGCATAAATATTCCATATTGACTTTAGTCTCTTTAATAGATATTTCTACAAGCCATAAAAAATATATACTGTTAATTCTGGCTCACAATACTGGATTTTCACTATATTCTATTTGTCTGTAAAGATATTAATGGAAAAATGATATATCTTTTCAGAAATTATCTTTGTTATTAAATGTGTAACTGTTGTATTTTTTAACTTCTCTAGGTTCAGTTCCTTTATACATAAAATGTGATGTATAATAATACCAATGTTATGGTGTTGCTATGAAGATTAAATAATATAATGTCTATAAGCATGTCTATGACACATAGTAAGAACTTAACAAATATTAATTATTGCTATCATTAAATATCAGCCAAAACATTTCTGATATTAAGGAAAATGTAAAAGTATAAAACAACTTTTTACCTTAAAACTTTCAGAAGTGTGCCTACTTCCAAAAATAATAGCTGACTTATGCTCTAGACCAGTGATGGTGAACCTATGGTACAGGTGTTGTTTTTCTTTTAAGACAAAAGATGTTAATATATGAGTTGTCTTTCTAAACTAAAACTTCAGTATTAAGATTTAATTGCAGTGTTGACACTTTGCAATAAATAAGGAGGATTGGGGCTGTAGTTTGGGCACTCAGTCTCTAAAAGGTTCACCATCACTGCTCTAGACAAATTGAAGCCCTGAGTCTGAAGTAAAGCTTCTCCAACTGAGCTGTCAGCTGGTAAATACAAAATTATAGAAGTTAGACATTTCTTAATATACCCCAAGAGCAAACTAGATGCTATTCATTGAAACTTTTTAAAGGTAAGGATTATATTTTATTTCTTTTTTCGAAACTTCTTCTTCTGGGCCGGGGATTTAGCTCAGTGGTGCCGCCACCTGCCTCGCAAACTCAAGGTCCTGAGCTGGATCCCTGGTACCAATAAAAAACCTTTTTCTTCTATTGATCACCAATTCTAACTAAGTTCCCAGTGGTACTTTGAATACTAGAAAAAAATAACATCTGGAACTTGAGGTATTTGTGATTATCAACCTCAGAAATTTCAGAAACTCACTTGCAATCACCATCTAACACTTTCTGGTTTGCTTGAGGCTGCTAACTGTCTAAGAGTTGCTCCCTAAATTTTATTTTTATTATACTTATGCCGTCTTTCTTAGCATTACTGTTTAAGATCTAATAGTGAAACTTCTTTATATTTTCTCATTTTTGGTAGCATGTCATTCTTCATTCATTCATTCATTCATTCTGATTTCCCTCCCTCTCTTCCTAACATCAAAAGCAGCTTCAAAACTTCTGCTTTTTCTGTAATGTGCCCCTCTGGTTTTACATGCTGGCCCTACTAATCAGAATATTGCAATTATGAACAGAGAGTTGTTAAAAGACATTCTGTTTGTCTACCAACATCTTAGGGAAATAGTTTCTATTAGATAATCTCTTTTTCTGTAAGAAAAAAGATATTATTCCATCATTTCTGAATTCTTAGGGTACACTGTTCCTTCATCAAGAGTGAAGTGCTCTTCCAAACTTCTCTTATACTCATCTAGACTAGGACAATGGCTAAGGTACTTTCTTCTAAGTATAAGTAACTATTGCTAGGAAAATGGATAAGTATATAGAATGAGTAGTCTACTACTGTGGGAAAGATCTGTCTCACAGATGCCAGCTAGAATATGGAAAGAAGAGATGATTTATTTTAAAACTACATAACAAAGCTTGAAATTACCTTTAATAATGGATATATATCATACTTGCTCACATCAGAAACAAGATCCGTGGTTATCAAGTTTGCCAAGACTTCATACCATACTATGATTTCATCTTCTTCAGCAAGGTATTTGGTTAAATCAAGTGCTGTTTCAATCTCAATATAATTGTTTCTGTTTGGTTTAAAAGAAAATATGCTCACAAAACCTTCATCTACTAAATGATTTGTACTCTTTCCACATTTGCTCTATGCTTCAATGCCTGACTTCAGTATGATAAGTGAATAATTCAAGAAGCAAGAAGGTGAAGGTCTTATCTTATTGATGAGATAGAACCCAAGAAATGTTGCCAGACTTCTCATTTCAATTTGGTATGTTCAAAGTGTCCAACTGGAACCATAAGAAATCCAGCCCAACTGTTAGACCAATTATTGAGTGATAAAATATTGTGTACTTGATATGCACTCTTATGAGAGTATAACTTCCTTTCAACAAATATTAATTAAAAATCATTCTCTAATTGTGTGCCAGCTGCTTGTGAGTAAACACCACTACATAGGACACCATGCTTGCCTACCTTAAGAGCCTTAGTGAGGAGCTGAGACTTAGCATAAGAAGCTGATCATGAAAAGTCCGAGAAAAGGTGATGCATACTAAAAAAGTGGCAAAGAAGGAAAATATACACCTGGAAAAGTCAAGGGAAAGAGGGAAAAGTCAGGAAAGACCTCATGGAGGAGGAACTTGAGAAGAACACTGAAAGATGGGTAGGATTAAAATGGGTAGAAAGAGGAGGGCAGCCCAGGACAAAAAGGTGAAGTGGTAATTTGTATGATGGGCATACTCATCTAGTAGAGTCAGGGAGAGGTACAGTGAGAGGTAAAGGCCAACAGGTAAGGTGCTTCAAACCCACTGAGCTCCCTGAAGATCAGAATGAGTAGTTTGTATTTGTTGGCAAGGTACTTTAGGTAGTTATGTAACTAGTGTAACATGATGCAGTTGATGCCTAAAATGTTTTTCCACATTGCTAAAGAAGACAAAATGGAAATCAAAAAACCAAAAGGGTACACACCGTCTAATGCAATAGACCAGGAAAAAGATGATGAAAATTTGGATTAGCATGAAAGCAGTGAATGTATAAGGTCAGAATCAAAAAGATACTTCCTGAGCATAAGAGATCGAGAGAGGGAAAAAGACAACATTTCTGATATTTTAAGTTTGAGTGTTGGGAAGAATAGTGCACTACTGACATACAGAGGGAAACTGGTAACAAGAGCAACTTACAGACAGATATATGTTTAGAATTTAGGCACTGAATTTAAATGACTATAGGATAAACATAAGACAGGTGAAAAGACAGGTATTAGCTTGGAGGCATTGATTTAGCATATCTACTGACCATTTTATATCTGCTGGGCACTGTACATATACATAATAAAATGGTCACCGAACTAATAAGATTAATGAGTTATTTAAAGAAAAGACAGAAGAAAATAACACAGTCATGTTTGGTCTTATGTGTGCTCAAAGCAGTAGAAAGAAGTGAAGTCAGATACATGAAAAGATCTGGGTTTGTATATTGGAGTCTCAGGAAATCAAAAAGGACATTTTCAGGAGGAAGTGGTCCACAGAACTAATGTCATATTGACCTTGAGAGTTTCAGCAAAGTATTAAGCAAGGGAATTGCTACGGGTCACATAGAGAAAAAGCAGTATACATGTGACATGTATCCAAGAAATATGTCAGGCCAAAGAAAGAGAGAACACGTAATAATTTATTATATATACACCTTAACTTTATTGCCTGAAAACTTAAATCCCAAACATATATTAATTTACCTGGTTAAATATTTAGCAGCATAACTACACTGAATAAATCTAAAATATATAAAAGTAATATCTGTAATGATATCATCGTTAAAATTATACCATCACTTCAAAATCTCAAGTGATAGTCTATTTCCAACACATTTTATGTTATAAAATTCCACTATGACCATAGAATTTGACTGTAATATTAATCAGATAAGGCCTGTGTATATGAAAGGGCCAAATTCATAGTAGTAAGGTATTATTTTTATAAAATACTCAAGATATACTCTAAAGCCATGAGCAAAGAGAACATACTCACTTAGATAAGGAAAAGGCATCATCAATCAACTGTAATCTGTGAATAACAGGAATAGCCTGCAGAAGGAGATCCAAGCAGTTGCAGTAAAAGATGAGAACATTTTTTAGTGAAATATTTTCAAAACAATTTAAAGGTCATTGCTGCCTACAGAGCACTTTCATCTAAAGTGTCTCATCTGCAGAGAAATGGTAATTATTATAGACAGTCCTCATAATTTATCATTATACATCTCTTTTAATAAATGATCCCTCTGGACATCAATAATAATGCTCAGATATTGCATAGAGTTATCAAAATGCTCCCTAAACTACGCCACGGTAAGAAATAAAACAACCAAAATGAAAAGGCCTCTCTAAGCCAGAAAGTACACATCAAATTGTATTGCACTGTCCAAATGATTTTCAGAAGAGTTTTTGACATAGGAGGCTTTAAATAAATATTATTTATCACTATTTTGGTAATATTGTGGTAATCTTTTAAATAATACGTGTCTTCTCAAGATTTTACTTATGTGACACAGTCCCACTGAGAGAGCCCTCTACACACACACAGAGGCAAGAGCAATTGCCAGTGTAATTCTTTAGGTCTCTGTCTAAATTCCTTGACTTTGCCAGGGCATCAGACTCATCTCAGCTGCAGTTCTCCAAGAGCACCCAAAACCTCCTATATTATTCCTTCAGTGTCTACTGGCACTTTGATATATTTGGTCCTAGAAATTTTATCTTCACAACATTCCTCTGAGCACCTGAGTAAGCCAAGCTTAATTCTTCTATTTGTAGGAGTCTCATTTCTTTTCTGGAAGTAATGCTGCATTTTCTAGATTAATATTAATAATATAAAGTCCATTTTACTTGCTCACCAATCATGTTGTAGAAAAAAATTTAACTCAGTTTTTCAATAAACAAATCTACACCATTTTCAAGGAATTATTGCTGTAATGGCCTAACCTAGTACTTTGGTGGCTTCGAATATTCTTAGAAATCTAAGAATTTAGCCACTCTGAAAAAGGTTTTAAAAGAAAATATTACTCTAAGTGGATTTGGTAGCTTTGTTCAAAATCTCAATAACTTTGTATTAAAAAATTCCTGAACATATTCTGAATGCCAGTGCCTGAATTGTCTCTGGCCTCTGTTAAACATAATACATATATTATCTTATTTCATCGTCATAATATTTCAAGGTTGGCCTCTTACAGTCATTATACAGATAAGGAAAACTGAGGTGCTGGTCAAATGACAGGCCCAAGACCACACTTCTGATAATTGATGAACAAAATGTGAATACAGCTGAAGCTCTGGAACAATATGGTGCAATGCCTCCTCTGCTAGAAGAGCTGCCGTGTTTCAAAGAACTTGCAAAGAGAGCAATACTGAAACCATCTTTCAGTTCAAGCATCCTAGTCTTATAAACAAAGTCTAAGTAAAATGTCCAAGTATTCACAGCAGAGCCAACTGTATAGACTTCTGAGCAGTGTCCTCTACCAGTGGAGACTTGGTTTAATTCAGTGTATTAAAATCTGATTAGTCTGAGCTGACCAAAACTTTAATTTTTATAGATTTTGTAAGAATTTATAGTTATTTTATAATTTAAAATGATATTAGACTATTATTGATGTTTTGTGAGTTAAGTTCTGAGGGAGAATGGGAATATGTATTTAGAAGTAAAATTAATATTTTATAGCATATATACTAAGTATCTATTATGGACTTAGAAATTTAAAGTATATTGTAACTACATTACCTCTGCTGCTCATGATAAATATGAAATTATAATATTCCCATCTTAAAGTGAAGAAATGTAAATAGAACAATTAAATAACTTGCCAAAGTTTACAAAATAAATGATTATGTGGAAAATGTGTTCTGATTCCTATCTGATAAGGTAAAATTATTTTGGAAAAACAAGAGGAATGTTCAAAAATAAACCACGTTCAGCCAAAATCACTCCTTTCTAAGAATAAGAAAAAAATCTCTCCAGTATGGCTGGAAGTGAGGAATGGGAATAGGGATGGAGTCTTTTCCAACCAGAAAGCTCACCCTCTAAAAGAAGAGAGGATGTATATTAATAAACATAAAAATTTAAAAACTAAAAGAAGACAGAGCATACTCAGAATAGTATTTACTTAAAAACATCAAAAATAGTCTTACCTTAGGATCCTTTTCAAGCTGTTGATTTAATTTTTTCCAACCTAATTTATCATAATTAACTCTATAATATCCAGTCATATTCAAATTTAAAATCACCCAGTCATTATTAGAATCTGAAACTTGCATTTCAGGGAATACTTCTATAAAAAAATAGGAAAAGTTTGAAATAGCATGATTTTTAAAAATATTCTAATTACTTTTTTATACAATTCACTCTTAATCCTAAACAATGAACCTCTAATTAAAGTAATTCTAAATTATATATTTGTTTTACCATATAATTATATTTTTCACATATAATGAGTTTTTATTTGAAACTTTTCTTCAAAACTCTATGTCCAGTGAAAAGATATTTTATTTTTAAGTGAGATACCTTTTCAAAAGCTAGACAGTTTAGGATTTTATTCTCTATCTTCCTATGTGTGTATATGTGAAGATGCTTTTAAAAGTGTTACTTACCACTGCTTTTATTTAGCCAGACTAAGGACTGTGTCATTCCATTTTTCATCCAAAGAATGGGGACAGTCCATGTGCCACTTTTTGGAAGAAAAAAAATTAGTTAATTTTCAGACATAAGAATTTACACACAATAGAATACCCCTCTGCCATAAAGAAAGATAAAGTTGAGTCATTTGTAGCAAAATGGATGAACCTTGAGATCACAATGTTAAGTGAAATAAGTCAGACACACAAACTTAAATAGTGCATTGTTTCTCTTACTTGAGAAAACCAATTATAAATAAAGAGCAAATAAAAGACAATAGGAAGTAGGGTGACAGCTCTTTCTCAAATGGGAAGAGGATCAAGAGATAGAGGGAAGGGGGAGGGGAAGGAAAGCAGATGAAGAAAGAATTAAGATGTGTTACATACATGTACAAACTCTCCACAAGGAACATAAACATTATGTACTCAAGCATGTTCCAATAAAAAAATAAAATCCAAAGTGTAATTACATTTTACTTTGAAAAAACAATATACATCTAATTTAATATTAAAGAGATGGTAAATAGTAGACACAACTCAATTTCTTTGTTCATTCCCTCTAGATATGTAGGACTTTGTTCTTAGGGTTCTTTGCTGCTATTTTGCTTTGGCTCTTTGTCCACCCCTCTCCCTTGTTGTGTCCTATGGATTTACTTTTTATAGCATAGGTAACTGCTAAGACTGCCTTGCATCTGAAATTTTCAAGGTCTGTTTATATGAAATTATAGCCACCTGGTCTGACTAAAGGGTGTTCAAATATACACTGCACGGCCCGCCCAAATCAGTCCATGCCCAGAGAAGTGAAGAGTAATTTAAGAAAAAAAAGTTTGACAAACATTTCAAAATACTTTTCAGCATCAAGCTTTTTCCAAACCTGAAATGTGATCAACAAGAACCATCAGGAGGGCCATACCAAAAAAAAAAAAAAAAACCCAGCAGGATATTTATATTTATTGAATGGCTATACTTTTCCCACATTGGTTGGCGCGACCTAGGTGAAGCAGGCAACTGAGGAAAAACATTAGTCATCTGAAGATGTGTGAGACTTGTAGCTTGACCAATATTCCCAACTCCCCCAAATTCTCACATGCCTGCTTCTCAGACTTTCAACTGTGGGTCCGTATTTATCCGATTGCTAAAAGTGCCCCCTCTTCTCAAAAAATCACAGAACATTACAGGGAGAAGGATCTTGAGTCTCCTGTTTCTTTCCCCAGTATTTTGTAGAATGAGAACTACCTGAAAATTTTGTTGATGGTATTTGAAAATTAATTACTTTTGTGCTGTTACCTATTATAATGAGATGTGAGAATCAAAACTATCAAAAACAGTTTAAAATTATCTCACAAATTAAGAAAGGAAAGGAAAGGAGAAGGTGACGAAGGCTAGGTTACTACTCATTTTATCTTTACATTTCATTTTATAGACAGACAACTAAAACTAAGTTAAAGTAAGATTTATCTAAAGTTTGAAATTGGTGAAGTCAACACAGGTCTAACTATATCTAGAAGTATTCTAATATTGCAGGTATGATTTTAAATACACTCACAGACACACAAACACACAACATGCACAACCATGTATAGAGAAATTCCTCAACGATATAGTTACATTCACTTCTATATTTCTAGGGAAGAGGCTACTTTGTAATAGGACGTCCTTTTCTCTTAACTAGCGTGTGGCCACTTGTGGCACCATCTTATTGTTTCTTATCCAGCATCCTGAATAGTTCACTACCTCTGTCTGAAGGTATACAGGCCCCCACAAAGCTTTGGCCACTAGTGTGGCCCTGAACCCTGACTGAGGGAGGGGCACACCTTGAATCTCTAACTGCAGATCTTTAGTCTGGCTCAGGTCTTGGGGGCTCTGCCTCACTCTAGCACACAGTGACATCCCTTCGTGCAGTCACTTGCAGAAGGGAGTGTTCCAGCAAGGGGTGTGTGCTTTCTCACTGCTGGCTGGTTTCCATCACATCAGAGATCAAACTCAAGGAAGGCAAAGACAGAGAGGAGTAAAGCTACCTACTTGTGGGTCAGAAGGGTCTGATTTTCAACTTTTCCCAGATAAAATGGCTCCTGATTCATGACACCACTGGACACATTTAAAGTGATGACTGGAAAACCACTCCGGTGTGTCCAACTGTCCATTATGCTTTTTACTGTTGCTGGCAAAAGAATTTTACTCTGGTCATCTATAGCCTGATTTAAAAAATCATCACAAAACAAAAAACATGTATGGTTATCAGCATGTTTTGAAGTAGCAACCTCCTAAAAATAAAAATTCTTTTCCTGATTTATATACTGTAGTTATCCCAAATGGTTGATGTTCTGGGCCAAATTCAGAATTCTGTTTATTTTACATAAATGTACGGAAAATTATAAGTTTTCCTTTGGTATTTGAGAGGAATTAGTTCTAGAACTCTCACAGATTCCAGAATTCATAAATGCTCATGTCCCTTATACAAAATGGAATGCATTTACATGTAAACTGTGCACATTTTCCCACATACTGTATATCATTTGCAATTATTTACAATGCTGTGAATGCCACATAAATACAATAGTTGTTGTATTGTGTTGTTTAGGGAATAATAACAGTAAAAAGAGTCTGTATGTGCTCAGTACAGATGCAGCTTTTCCCCTAGTATTTTCGATCTGGAGTTGATTGAATCTACAGATGTGAAACCACAGATATGGAGAACCGACTCTATATGTATGGTTCCTTATTTCATTGATTGATTGATTGATTCATTCATTCATTCACTAAGCACACTCATGTATCTAATTTGTGACAGACTGTTCTATGTATGGGAATACAATGAAAAAAAAAAAAAAGATGCAACTCTTACCCTAAGAGAGTGTCACAAAGTAAAATGACCTGATCTTGCAATGTATTAGACAAAATAGCTTCACAAATATATGTCAATGTAGGTAGGACAATTACCATTTGAAAATGCCTCCATAGATCATCTTGCTCGGCATTTGAGTAAGAAAACGCCTTCAAATAAGACTGTAAAAATAGAGAAGCGAAAGTTTTTAAAAATAACATTTCAAAGCAATTTGTGTTTGCTGTCATTCAGGTAATAACTATTTTGCCAACTCACCTTAAGTGCACCGATGAACACATGTTCATTCAGGAAACTGGAAAGCATGCGGGCCATAGATGCTCCCTAGGAAAGAAGAAGCTGCTCATTATTTGAACAAAATATTCCATTTTATGAGCACTATTTGAGCTGTGCTCTTGACTACAATTTGTACTTTAATTGAATGTTTGAATTATTCCCAAACATACTGATGAAATGGTGAATAGTCACTAGGTAAAAAGTGAGCAAATGTCCTACATATAAAGAGGTCAGGATCTATACCAAAAATTTTAAATTGAGGTATTTATTTGGAAGAATAAATTTCTACTAAACAGAAGGGTTTGTCATTAAAATAGCACATTATTTAAGTCTATTCATAATGATAGGTTGTACCCAGCATCTAATATGGGATTCATTAATACTTGCTGACTCAGAACTGATTTAACCATATTTTCTGAAACTAATTTATTCAATAAAATTAAGGTATTAGTAGTAAAAATTTTAAATTGCATATTAATCTGCAATCCTTAGAATCCATTTTATGCAACTCTCTAGAAGAGTACAGAAAAAAGGGAAATATATAACTGCTTTTACCTTGTTGTAAGTAAATAAGTCAAAGAGTTCATGTATTTCACTTGTTTTTGTGAAATTTTCCACCTTCATGGACACAGCTCTAGACACCAGGGCATGATCTTCGCTGAGGACACCATGTAAAAAGTTAGAAAAAAAGATCTCATTCTATAAAGGAAAAAATTGAGCTATATTAACTTCTGAGGTGTCATAAAAACATTAAATTCAGTGGTTCTAAAATGCTTTCAAAATATTGAGGCATTTTAAATTTCAATATATTGAAAGCATGGATATTCAATATCAGACTTTCATGATAATGAAAGGAGAAAAAAGACAATTGAGAAGTATGAGTGAATTGCAATATGCCCCCAAATCAGATTTTCCTGAATAACAGAACTGTAGGATATTTTCCTTCCTATTTTGTTTCTCTTTTATATTTCAATTTTAAAAAAAAAAATCAATTACTGTGGTTTCTAACAGTCATATAAGTTTCCTCACAGGAGATCCATAGCTGCCTGACAAAGCCTTCAGGAAGCAACATCTCTTAATTCTCTAGAATTTTATTGGGAAATGCATTAATGTCTTCTTAAAATTGCTCAGTCTCTCTTATATGGATATTTACAAAGCAAAATGTAAATGTGTGTTAGATGTGCAAATTTACAAGGACGCTAACATAATAACTTACAGCTGGAAAGAAATTCACAACTGGATACTAGAGCTTATGGCTCATGCATTATGAGAAGACAATTTATTATATTTTAATAAAAACTACAGAATTCTCCAAGAGGCTAGCTCTCTCTCTCAAACACATAACAAGGACAATTTATCCCTCATGTAAAGCTAGATAGAAAACCAATTTATAGTCAGAGGGTCTTGGGATGACAGAAACCAAGCAAAGATCTGTGAAGAAACCATACAGTTTGTTAATAGCCTGTAGAGCCGATTAGCCCCTGAGAATCCATATGAAACTTCAGGTCCCTGCTGCCTGTCTTTCATACTCCCAAATTAACTATCTCAGCCTTTGACAGTGTCAGAAAAACTTTCAAATTTTATTCTACTTCCATTTGTGAATGTTTCAATCAACCTTTCTTGTTATCACTTTAATTTTAATTAGTAATACACGGATCAGGCTATTATTAAACTCTGTTCTTCCAAAAATGAGAAAGTCACATAGAGTAATGTGTTTCAAATGATTTTTTTGAGACAGGGGCTCACTATGTTTATCAGACTGTCCTTGAAGTCATGATTCTCCTGCCTCAGTCTTCCAAGTAGCTGGGCTTACAGACACACACCACCACACTGTCAAACTTTAGTGTGAACAAGGGTCACATGGGGACTTTGTCAAACTCATATGCTAATTCAGTTGGTCCAGGTTGGAGCCTATATTGCTAATAAACTATCCAAATACTACTGATGTTTCAAGTCCAAGAATCATACTGCAAGTAGCAAGAATTTAGAGAAAACATCAGCATATGTCTTATTCTATTCATTAAGCATAGGTTTTATTAGTTTGACACTTAAGGGTTCTTGAGAATATCTCAGTATTAAACCATATGTCATGAAGCACAATGTAAAAAATAGAGAGAAAACACCCATAATCTAATACCTTAAGATTTAACCACCACTACAATATTAGTATAGCTATTTCCAATCTTTTCCCCTATGCAGTTCTTTGTCCCCATAGTTGCACACCCTACTTAATATAGTATTTTAAAGTTTGCTATCTAATCTTCACAACTATTCCTTATAATGGCTACTACATTATAAATGGAACAGAAATATAAATTTGAAGAAATAAACCAAAACTTAATAGTGATTATTACCACAGGGTGATCAAGTCACAGAGGATTTGCTTGTTTTCAAACTATAGCAGATAAAATTTTTGAAAAAGTAAAACATTAAAATAAAAATGTAGTTTTTAGGTCAGTGGACCATAATCATTACCCATCTATGTTGTTTCCAGCTTTTTGTTGTTATAATCAGTTTTAATGAACACTTTTGTACCACATATGACATTCTTCCTATTTTGTGAGATTTTTCCCATTTCAGAATAGATTGTTTGTCTTTCTTTTTCCTGTCTGGCATAAGGTTTTACATAATCTTGAGGGTATCACTGCAACCACACAAGATAACTGTGATAAATGAGGCAAACATCTTTTCCTCAAAAACCTGGAAGTCTTTCTACTCTGGGCCTGTCATAAAGTAATGTTGTCCCCACCCTGTTCCTGTCCTGCTGAAGGCAAACAACATTTTAAAAAGTGATATCAGCTTTTAGGGGAAAAAGACATTTAGCCACTGCATATAGTGATTAGATAAAATCCATCTGTACAACCAGTACTTCTTCCTGCAAGCCATGATATCCCAGAGAAGACTATTTCTACTAAAATCTATTGTTATCCTTGGAAATATAACACTATTTGTTATTATCTCATTTATTGTTGTTTTTACCATTTTCAGATGGTAAAACAATTTCAGTTTTTAAAATGGTGCAAACAGCAATGTTCTCAGTGGACTACTATGAGTACTAAGTTAATTCACACAAGTTCTTTGCATAATGCCTAGCAAATAGAACATGCTCTTCCTCCTCCTCATCATCATATCTTCAGAGCTCTTCTGAAGATGGAATGAGATAAACACATAATGAATGGTTAGTTATGGGCAAGTTCTAGAATATACACAGCTGATGATCAGTGATCAGCTGAAATCCTGCATGAAGCGCAGTTAAGCTCAGAGGTGTCCCACCGTGCGCCTCAGCTTGATGACAGTGGGATCTTACTGGGCTGAGGGGCCCTCCATTAAGTCTGCTGTTTCCTTGGATCAGTCAGAACAAGAGACAGAGAAAGGTTATTGAGTCTCAGTGTTAGAACTGGAGCTTCTAGAGCCAAGAACCCCTTTGTCCTTAACGTTCTGCACCCTTGACCACAACTTTCACATTCTGCTTTGATGACTTTCGACTGAAATTAAACTAAGCAACAGTAAAATGGAAATCTGCTCCTGCCTCTGGTTCTATAAGTTCCATACTAAATTTCAATCAAATTAATAGATTAAAAGGAAATCAAAGTTCTTGGTCTCCAGAGATCATTAAAATAAGGCCTGAAGCTTTTATAACATACAACTCATTGTAATTTCCTGAAGCTCCAGGAACTGACATTCTTCTGACAAGAGTTATATTTGCTCAGCTTTACAAATGACTGAGAAATGTTGACTAGAAAAGAACGATTAAGAAATCAATGAAAAAAAGAAATAACTAAATGGTTCAAAAAGAGAATATTATAATTTTAGCTTCAAAAGTATCAGTAATATGTTTTCATCAAGTTTTGCCAGATTCTGTTAAGTTAGCCATTTTAGTTGTAAGAGGTAACTGAAAGTCATGTGAATACTATAGTCTATTCAATTAAGAAAATAACATGAATTCCATTTTTTGAAATTTATTTCTTTCATTATTGACTTTAAGCACAGAGTTAATTTCGGATCCAACCAAATGCTTTCAAAAACATTCATAGATGGCATTAACCACATTTGGTTCTATTTCATAAAAGAGGTATATATGCAGGTTTGTAAGTATAGAACCTATAGAAAGAACTTTAGGAGACAACTATACATATATGTTTATTATATGTATGTGAGTAAAAAACATATATACACATATAGAGATTGCCAAAAAATGGATACACACTTCAGGAAAAGAATATATGATGTTTCTTCAACAAATGATGTTACCCTCACATGGGGGACCTTAGAGGATTTCATATATCACAAAAAACCCACTGCACTCCCAGCCCTTAGAGAAGAAATTGAAAATGCATGTGCAGCAATTTCAATGACCAAGGTTACCCAAGCAGCAGTTCACCATACTAATAAATGTCTGGAAACTGATGGCCACCACTTTGAGCACCTCTTGTAATTGTAGAGGCCAAGGGTAACATATATTAATCTCACGATGTTTCGATAAATTTAGTATTAACATATTTATACAAGTTTTACTTTTCCTAAAGTGTGTATACATTTTTGGTGGTTGCTCTGTCTGTCTGTCTCTCTCTCTCTTTATATGTAATGTATATATTATATATGATAAAATAAATATATTCATATATTAACCAATATTAATTAATAACAAATATAATAAAATAACTATATTATATAATATAATGTTAATAATATAAATATATTATATATAATCATAAAATAAACACACATCCCATGAGCATCTTGAGAATAAGAGTATTCCCGTGTCTTTTCTCAGCATAGTGATAAAAAGCTTGGTCAGAGTCCTGGAATTGAATTTTGGCTTTAACATTTAATAACTGTGATACCTTGGGCAACTCAATTAATCCTTTTCTGCCTCCATTTACTTATCTGTAAGGTAGAAGTAATAACAACTATACTCATGTGGTTATTCTGAGGATTAAGATGATATATGTATAACATTCACCCTGCCTGGAATTGACCTTCTAGGTACCCAGTGAATGGCAAATAGGATGTTATTACTGCTATCATCATCTTTATGCTTATCATAAGTTAGGCCCACAGTTAGGATTATAGTCACAGTTCTGGACTGGTTAGGAAAAGGACCTGGAGTGAGTCACAGAACCTCTGCATCTCCTGATCTATATAACAATGTCCAGCCACAGGGCCTGTGCACAGTCCAGGGAGGAAGGGGAGACACTGCCGAGTGACCACACTGGCTGGGAACATCTTCCAGGATGCCTGCAAAGAACAGAACAGCTGGCATAGGATCCAGTGTCAAGAGGCTGCTCAACTTCCCTGTTTCCCACACACTGTGACTTCACAAGCAGAGAAAAGAAAGCTTTCAAAAGCCTTTGATGGAACCAAGATCGGCTTTTTGTATTCTGCCCCAAAATCAACAAAAAGCATTGAGCTATTACTACTTTTCACAAAAGAAAGAAACTTTACTAGGAAGATAATATAGACAGTCTTTTATACTGTGAATCCCACATCCAGGGATTCAACTAGCTGAGGATCAAGAGCAAATGGTGGAAAGAAAATGCATCTGTACTGAACACATACAGATTTTTTTTCTTGTCATTGTTCCTTAGGAAATATGGTATATGTACCTACACAGTAGTTAAATTATACTAGGTATTACAGGTAATCTAGAGATGATTGAAAGTATACAGGAGAGTATGCATAGGCTATATGCAAGTAATACATTTTTTATAGAAGGGTTTTCCTGTCTGAGAAGTATCTGGGAGCTAATCCCAGAGGATCCTGAGGAACAACTACAGAAAGGAGCACCATCTTAAACTCTTCTTTAACAGATTTAGTGTGCAAAGAAGGCCTGGCCAATGGAGACCAGCATTTCCAATAGTAATAAGCTCCGAATTAATTAGGGTAGGGAGAAGAGAGAGGAGGTCAGGTACATAGCCTTAAAACAGTGAGGAGGTGAGATGACAGAATGCTAGCCAACAGTCGCAGGGAGGAGCAATCCTGAGGAACAGAAGAGGGACAGGAGGCAGAAATGGGGCTGGGCGGGGTAGATATGCAAATGAAGAAAGGACTTTCGCTTTGCTAAAACTGTGAAGTCCACCTCAAAAGATAACATTAAATCTAAACATTTATATATCTAAATCAAATCAATTGGCTTTATCATGTCATTCTAAAAGGACTATCTAATTACTTTAAATAAATATCAGAAACATATGCTATAGTTGAAATGATCAGATTCTGATATCTGATTGTGATATCTGAAATTAAATTTATTTTCAACACATACTACTTTTCACTACAATCAGCAAAACAATATCAGCAAAAATATTTAATGAGTCACTAAAAGTAACATATTACTTACCATTGAAGTCAGACTAAAGATTGCAACTGCCTTAAAATTTAGTAGGAATAATGAAAATAATCAAAAATCTAAATAATTAAAAAGATTATATGTAAACACTTTATAAGATAACATAATAAAATACTGAGTAGCCATTAAAAACCTTGTTTTTAAAGAGAATTTGATGAGTAGAAATGCTCATGATATAATATAGAGTATGAAAAGTACTATGAGTTCTGTATAATTCCCATTTTCAAAATATTTATAATAGGTGTAAAGCCTGGACTAAAGACATCAAAAAAAATCATGGATAATCTCTAGTATTGATATCAATAATTTAATATTCTTTGAAATTTATATATTTTGAACAATATTATGCATTGCTTTTAAAACTGGGAAAAAAAATTTAAAAATAAATTTAATAAACATACTTACTCTTGGGAGTTTAGGATTGAAGTAGTTAGTTATTCCAAACTCAAAATAAGATGCAAAACCCTCATTGAGCCAGATATTGTTCCACCAATTCATGGTAACCAAGTTTCCAAACCACTTTTGGAAATGGGAGGGAAAAAGAGCTTTCATGAATTTGTCATACTTGCATATAAAATAAACATAAGGTCCAAAGACATGATTCAACTTTATCTGCCATCAATCATAAAGCTTGAAAACAGGATTCCAAAGACCAGCTTATTGTTTCAACTTAAGGAGATAGTTATGCATTTCTCTGAAACAATTATTTCATGTACAATAATTGAATGCAATTTTTGCTTTAAAATTATGATGTTCAAACATAAGGTAGAATAGTATCTTTTAAATCATTTTACTTTGCCAAAAAGTTGTGCTTAGTTAAATAAATCAGAAGCCCTGAATGCAGACTTACCACCTATTAATTCTCTCACCTTATACACTCAACAGAATTTTGTTGTAAGCAGTTTAATAAGAACATGATTTAATCTGTGCCACACATAAATCACTAATGGTCCACATATGATTATTTTCTATTTCAATTGAACAGAAAAAAAAGTGCTGATTTTGAACAGAATTAGGAAAGAAAAATATAATAATTTCCAAAATCAACAAATCCATGCCCTGGTCTTTAACCAAATTCTTATAATAACTTTTAGAAGCCTGTATTCCAAAACAGTATGTCACTTAGGCTTTAGTTTAAAAAATGACACTTGGGGTGACTGGTCAACACTTGTGAAAAGGTGTGTTGACTGTGTTCTGGGTGTTACCCAATCCTAGGAAGTTGCTCTTTTCAAAAACTTATGGGGCCACATAACTAAGAAGATAACATTTTCATGGTGGAGATAGTTTCTTTCTTGACAAATGTGTGTTAATGGAATTGAAACTAAAACATAGATGTGAGAACCTTCATCAAATCAAACGGCTAACTTTCTAAGATGACAGTGTGAACACACCTAGATCTAATGAAATGAATTTTTATTTACAGTGCTATATGGATGCATCTTGAAGATTAATTATCGCTCCTCTTATTACTGTGCTGTCTGCATCCACTTAGCCTTTCTTCAAAATAAAAATAAACGTTTATAATCAAAAATAAAATTTATGACAATCTAGCGATGGAGTGTGAGTATCTTGCAGTGACATTTTCAAATATCCCTTGTTTTAAGGTGGAATGAAAAACAAATACAGCTCTGTGCAGCTTATGTTTCTTAAAGAAAACCTTGCAATACAAAATTAATCTTTGGATGCAAATCTTCAAACTTGGATCAGACTGTGAAGTCCCATTACTTCCATTCATCACCAATAACTCAACTCCAGCCAGAATCTCGGTACACAGATTCTTCATTGCTTTTACTCACTGTTGTACCTTTCAAGAAATGGGGGGTTTTTTCTTTCCTCAAATTTTATTTACGGCAGGGATTTCTATTTTTTTCCTATTTTAGGCAGAGCATCTGGCGAATGTGAAATAAGAAAGAATATTTTACCACATGCCTGATGTCCAATCTCATGGGAGACAATATGGGAGATCAGAGCCTTTTTTACTGTCAGTTGATCACTTGGCAGCAGCAGTAACAATGATTCATCAAACATCATTAGTCCCCAATTTTCCATTGCATGGTTGTCAAAAACAGGCAAGGCAATTAGATCTGAGTGGATTGAAATGAAGGAAAAATGAAATCATCAGTTACAAAAATATTGAGATTACACCTATGAATTATCTCAAAATGAAATCATAGGGAGAGCTCCAGGGCTGGATGTGCACCTGCGCGAGTTGGTTGCGCTAACCCAAACTCGCAGGGTTCGGCAGCAGGGGCTGAGGGACGCCGGGCGGTCAGCGGTCTGCGGCGAGGCGATGAGGTTTTTAATGTGAATATTAATACCAATCAAGGTACATTGAAATAAGGGCAATACAACAGAGTCCAGTCCTTGCAGCATATTATACAACATGTGAATTTTGACAGCATGATTAACCCACAGTTGCTGTAGGTGGTACAATAGAGGCTAGCCTAACTGAAGAAATAAAACCAATGTTTATGTTTCACATTGGAAGTAGAACCTGAAGACAAAGACTTTCTTATATTAAGCAGTTTTGATGGCAGAAAAAAGACAGTCTTATAGTGTTGGAGAAGCAATGGAGCAACTCACAGGACCTGATAGATAAAAAATGGACCAATATGGATCCAGAAGAAAGAATGTTGTCAGCTGCCACAGCTTTTGCTCGTATCTGTGCAGGGCAGGGTGATGGAGACCTAAGCAGAGAAGCCCAATCTATCCAGTATGATCCCTACAGTAAAGCTTCAGTAGCCCCAGGGAAGCAACCTGCTCTGCCTGTGCAACTGCAGTACCCACATGTAGAAAGTCCTGTCACTTCGAAAACAGTCTCAGAGGTCTCTCAAAGGCTCCGAAAGCCAGTGATGAAGAGAAAGGTGCTTTGTAGAAAGCCAGATGGGAAAGTATTAGTGACAGATGAGTCAATTATCAGTGAATCAGAATGTGACACAGAAAGTGATGCAGATCTCTGGGACTTAAAACAAAGGCTGATGAATCTGCAGTTCCAGGAAGATAGGGAGTCCCCAGTGGATATTTCACAAAAATTTAATCAGCCACATGAATACCAAGGAATTTCACAAGATCAGGTCATTGGCTATCTACAAAGAGAGGGAATGGGCCCTCCCGCTTATGAACAAGACCTGATTGTTGCCAGCAGACCCAAGTCCTTTATTCTCCCAAGGCTGGACCAGTTAAGCCGAAATTGAGGCAAGATAGACGGGGTAGCTCGATATTTTGAATACAAAAAGGACTGGGACTTGATGCGGCTGCCTGGTGAAGATCACAGGAAGGAGGTACAGTGGGGTATCCAAGAAAGGTTTCTTTCCCGAGCAGAACCCCAGTCCAAGCCTCAACACGTGTATGTTCCAAACAATTACATAGTGCCAACTGAGAAAAAAAGATATGCCATTTGTTGGGGTGTTTGCTGTGGCCTTGCAAACGGTGACATGCCCAGGAAGCTTCCTTTCCCTCTTTCTCCTTCTTAAGATTTTTTTAACCTGTCTCTCCTCCTACAGAATTGTTTAAGATATCCTGTTTCTTTATCTGGTTCCTTTTAAATAGAAACACCCACCATTAGTGGTCCCCTGCTGTGTATCATACAGCTATCAGACACTACTTAACTTCCAAATTACTACTCTCAAATATAGAAATTACAAGAAAAATCATGCCAGAGAGATAAAAACTTATCTGGTCTTTGTATTTTGTCAAATTAGTAAGCACTATTTGTGTTTGAAAGCCTTTTTACCTTGGGTCAATGTAAGCTACTGTGTTTTAGTGTGTTTTAAAATTGGTGGGCATTAAGCTTATCTATTAAAGAATTTTGGAAACAAAAAAAAAAGAAACCATAAAATTACTAGAAAATGCAACAGGTTATTAATAAGTTGAAGGTTTTCAAAAACTAACACCAAAGATAGAAGACAAAAAATAAAGTTTCACTATATAAAAATCAAATACAACAGAATATTAATAAGCTGAGGCTTTTCAAAAACTAACACCAAAAATAGAAGACAAAAAGTAAACAGTTTTGCTATATAAAAATCAAATACTTTTGATAAAGGACTTATAAAAATATATAAAGAACTCTTAAAACTCAATCTGAAAACAATGGTCAAAACTAGGAAAGACGCCTTACTAAAGAAAATACACAAATATCAAATTAACATGAAAAGATGCTCAACACCATTTGTTGTTTAATAATGGTAAACTTTAAAGCAATGAGATACCACTATAGAGAATGTGAATTTTGAGCAGAGTTAGGAAATGAAATGGCTACTACAATGGCTAAAATCCAAACTATTAGCAATACCAAGGATGCAGAACAAGACAAATGCTTATTCACTGCTGTGGAATGCAAAATATCATAGTCACTTTTGCAGGTCGTTTGGTAGTTTCTTACAAAGCTAAATGTAGGCCTACCATAAGATTAACAATTGTACTTCTAGGTATTTACCCAAATGAACTGAAACCTTACATGTACACACAAAAATCTGCACACAAATGTTTATAGCAGTTTTACTCATAATTGCTAAAAATTGTAAACAATCAAGATGCCCTTCAGTGGATGAATGGATAAATTGTTGTGCATTCTTACAATAGAATATTATTCAACAACAAAAAGAATTAACTCTCAATCTATGAGGAGATGGGGAGGAACCTGAAATGCATATTGCTGAGTAGCAAGAAGCCAGTCTGAAAAAGCCACATACTGATACATACATACTACATGTCATATAGGTGTGATTCCAGCTACATGACATTGTGGAAAAGGTAGAAATATAAAGTAAAAAGGTCAGTAGTTGTTCAAGGTGCAGGGAAAGGGAAAAAGATCACTATGTGAGCACAGGAGACATTTATGGCAGTAAGACTATTCAGTATGATATTGTAATGGTGGAGACACATCATTCATTATATACTTATAAAAACATATAGATGTAGAGCTGGGGATTTAGCTCAGTGGTTCCGATGCCTGCCTTGAAAGCGCAAGGTCCCGATCCAATCCCTTGTACAAAAAACAAACAAACAAACAAACCACATAGACATATACAACATGAAGAGTGAACCCTGACTTAAATTAAGGATTGCAGCTAGTAATAATGTGTTGGCAATGGTTCACCACTCGTGACCAATGTACCACACTAGTGGAAGCTGTTAACAATAGGGTATGGGGTGGTGAGAAGGCGTAGTGGAGAGAAGATATATGGGAACTCTCTGTACTTTCTGCATAATTTCCCTGTAAGCTTAAAGCTGCTCTGAAGCATGAAGTCTATTTAAAAGTAAATAGTTCACCCAAAACCCCCACTATGAACAAATTTGAAAGGCAAACCACAAACTGGGAAAAATATTTGTAATACATACCACAACAACTAGGTTTTTGAAAAAAATATTTAAAGAATACTGACAAACCTAAAAGAAAAAGCATAGTCGGGAAGCTGAGATGGGAGAGGGGAGGATCCCTGCCTAGACTGATCTCAAACAAACTGCTCAACATAGTGAGACTCTTACCTCAAATATAAGCAAACAAAAACAATTCACCAAAGAAATAATTCAAACAGTCAAAATGTTATTTAAAATACTCATCAAGAAAAAAAGCTTTAAAAAAAAGAAACAAAGCTTAAAATCATATAGCACTCTTCCAAATGCTTGAAATTAATAATGAATACTGGTGTAGATGTAGGAAAATTGGCACCTAGACCATCGGCGAGGGTGCCAATAAAACAGCATTTCTGCAGAAATCTAGCGAAGTGTTTTAGGGTTCTCAGAATACTGATACAATTATACTAAATCATTCTACAGTTGGAATTTATACTAATCCAAATAATACAGATATTTGGAAACATTTTCTTATAAGGATTTTATTTTTTATTTTATTTTATAGAGACAGGGTCTCGCTATGTAGT